AAATAATGAAAACTGAAATAGAAAAAATCCATTTTAGTTAACAAAAATAAATAAAAACTGTAAAAAAATAAAAAAACAATAACTAGGTAAAACTGTATAATCTTTTTACAAAGCTAACTAAAACTAACTGAAATTATAGATAAAATATACTTAGTTGTAGTGTTTGTCAGTTTGTCGAGTGTCGTTACTAACAACACTTGTTTACAATCTGCTGCTCAGCATCATCTGCCAAATGACAACAAACGTTGGGAGAAAGCAGCAATGTCCACTTTGGGATTTCTTTGAATATGACTGCGAGAAAAATAAAATCAAGTGTTTTTTTAGTGGGAACAGGTGACAAAATAGACGGAATGCTTCCCAAGGGAAAACTGCATGAATGAAGCTCAGACAAGATGGCTAACTAAGACTATGTTGACACGCTAGCTTCTCTCAGTAGCTCCCATGTAAAACAAGCAACAGGTAGCWSTGGATTGGAGACAACTATTGTCACCATCCTAAAATAATCACCCAAGTTTTTAATTGGCAAAATTGAGTTACACAATTATTTTAGGAAGGTGTCGCTATAGACTGCTTTAACTAGCAACCAAATAGCTGTTACATCACAAGCTTGATGCATTGGCAAATATGTTCGAACTATGAAAAAAAACTAATACAAGAACTTATAGAACCTAAACTAAGCTAAAACTAAGCATTAAAAATGTAATTCTGTCCCTCTGAAGGAAGCCTTCTGAGACTAAGGTCAAAGACAGGTGGAACTGTTTATTCCACCCCTTGGTGACCACTACACAACAACTAATAAAAACTAGCAAATCCACTGAAAAAATTTATTAAAACTAACTGAACTGAAAGAAAAAAAGTTAAAATGAAATAAAACTAAACTATAATAAAAAATCCAAAACTATTATAACCTCAGTTCATACCCATAATTAACACTGCACAGTGAAATGTGGTTATTTTCATGTAAGTTGCCTTATTGAAATTAGATATTTATTATGCCTTATTAACCTCATGAATTCTCTAGAGAACAGCCCAACACTCTGACCTGTTAGTTTATCTGAATCACTTAATGGGAGCTGCTGCAACAGCAAGCATCATTATAATAAAACAGACACTCTGGGTGTAACTGAGATGTGGAGAAACAAGATGAAAACCTTCAAAAAGCATATTCAGCAGTGAAAATAATGACCTCTATGAATTAATGTTCAGCATTTTTTACAGTCCAACATATTTATACATACCTAGCATTACCTTTGATTCTTTTAAAATTCATCCACACACGTAAAAACATAACTTAACCATACAATAAACTAATAAATGCCAACACTGACTATTTCTAAACGTAATTTAGTTTTGGTTGGTTTAGAAAAATCTAAGCTTTAGATGCACTTTTTCTCTTTTTCTAAACTTACCAGCTTTATTGCACTAAGGAGTTGATTTATCAAGATTTCAAATAACCAGCATTAATTTGCGGCACTAATTAAAAACATAATCTGTGCTTAAAGGGGGCATGTTGTGTTCGATGTATACTGCGTGCACAAAGGATAACGTGCAAAGGTGGTGAGGACCGCCATATTGAGATAAGGATTTAGTGTGTGCCACTGATGGTAAAAAGAGTTTTATTAGTTTATTTTTATTGTTTTATTAACTTTTTTGTTGCACACTTATCTTTAATTTTGATGTGATACTTTAACATTAGCTTTAAAAAAGGTGTTAATAATTTGTCAACCAAACTATGCATCAGACCATTCATTTAAAGTTATAAAGACTGTCCATAAATTACATGGATTTTCCCTCATTTTGCATGTATGGAGAAGTTTAGGGCAACCGGATGTTTTCAGAAACTTTCCTTCAAATTTATTTAAGTCTCAAAGCTGTAGGTTGTAGGGAAATAATTTCACTATCTCCTCACCCTAGTCTTCTTGCTCCTCTGCGCTGCAGACGCTGTTATTAGCACCGTCACATCCTTACTCCATGGCCCACAACTCGCTTGGACAAAATGATTGTCTGCAACTCCTCCTCCCAGTATTTTGTAAATCATAATCATCTGCATATTCATGGAGGCATACATGCTAAATTAATTGCTGCTGCTATTTTGTTCATCTAAGAGCTGCAATCCCTGCTGCACATGTTAATAAATCAKCTTTGTGTGCACCACCAGGTTTGCCAGTGTTTTTATACATGCTAASCATTGATAAATCGGCCCCTAATGCTGCTCACCAGCTTACCAACACATATTTTTGACTTTTTCTAACAGCTCTTTCATCATATCTAGCCTCACATAACCAATTTTTCTTATTTTTTTATTTTATTATGACCTTTACTCCTTTCTAGTCTGTTTAATAAAACAGAAACACCCTCTGTAAATCTCTTGCATTCTCACTTCTTGTTCCTTTGCACTGCAACTCATATTTTTCATCAAATTTTAATTATTCAGGGGATCATTTGATCATAATGTTTCATTCTTGCTGTGCTGAGATACTATTGTTCTTTAGTGCTTTGTCTTTTTTTATTCCATCAATAATAGTAGCAGTTTTCTACAACATCTTCTAATTCTTTTTAATCCCATCTGTGAAAAACTTTCAATACAAAAAAACGTTTATCTTTAACAAAGTTGACAAAAAAAAGAATAAAACTGCTTCAAATGCTGCTGTTTAAATATCTCAGAGGACAATAATGACAAAATACTGCTCACACAGATAGGGTACAGACCTAATTATGTCTAAATCAATTGTAAAACTAATAATTAATAATAAAAATCTTCCACGTTCTTCTTTAGAAGCCTTCTATGACTCAGTTAAACTTGTTTTAAAGTTTGATATGCATCTGTCTGTAACTTCTGGTCTCCCATCTCTTCACATCTTCCAGGTGAGGTTTTCCACTCCACGGTGCCCGAGAAGCTGAGCCTGGCTACTGCCTCCACCCACTGCCACTCTCTGGGAGCCCAGCTGGCCACTGTTGGACAGCTCTACCTGGCTTGGCAGGCTGGTCTGGACCAGTGTGATCCCGGCTGGCTGGCAGATGGCAGCGTCCGTTATCCCATCAACGTCCCACGGAAGTACTGCGGTGGGGATGAGCCTGGGGTGCGAACCGTCTACAACAACCCCAACCGCACCGGCTTCCCCAACACCACCGCCCTCTTTGACGCCTACTGCTACAGAGGTACAGACAGCTCTGTGACAATAGAGCCCAAGATCCATTGCTGTGGTAATCACTATGGCAACAACTGCGGGGTCTGGGGACTTGATTGCCTCCCTGATTTTTAATTAGCACTAAGTATTTGTGTCACACATGAAGGAGTCGGGGAGAGATTGTGTGACATTTGTGTAGCTCTTGCTGGATTTGAGCGCTTAATTGTTGGCCTGAAAAAGAAAATGGAAGAGAGATAAAGGAAACGCATGAATGCCAAAAGTCCAGCTGAAGTTTACAGTGATGCCGCTCATCTTTTTCTTATATCATAGGTCAGAGTTTGGCAAATTAAATGATGGAAGGGGTTGAACACWTACCCAAATATAATAAAACTGATATYGTACAAATATAAACATTTTCAACACTGTAAGTTCCAGACTATTGAGCACACTTGAATATAAGCCACACACTAAATCAAAAAAAAAAAATTACACATATATAGGCCGCACTTGTCTAAAGGCCGCAGGGGCCCACATTGTAACATGAGACATTTACACAAAAAGATGTTACACAGAATTTAAAAAAAAACACACACTTTTAACTAAATACGTATTGGCAACACACAAAAATATGTATTGTAAATGYTTTTTTTTTTCAAAAAGTAAATGCTTTTTCCAAACAGTGCCTGTAACACAGCTAGCTAAAAAACAACAAAAAAGTAAATAAATAAAAACAGGAATCGATCTTCCAGCCTCAGATTTACTTCTTCACACAATTGTGTTTAAGTTTTAATGACATAAGTACTGGTAACACACATAAATAGGCTGCGTACTATACATGTTTGCTTTTGTCTGAACAGTAATTAAAAAAACAAACAAATAATGCAACATGGCTGGGTTAAAAAAAAGTACAGTAGTGTAGGAAAATATGCATTGTTCAAAATAGTATGTCTGAATAAACAGGAATCCGCTGGATTTCTTCTTAAAACTTTATTTTCAATCTTCTGACTCCAATCAGGTTCACACAGCACTCAGCAGCACAGGCCTCAGTGTAAGACCTTGAGCTCCAGGCTGGATCTAACCAGAGACTCTGCAAAACACACTCACAACTCCCTACTAYAATAATGAATTGAGCTTATAATGTACATCTCTTCCTGGTTACACCCCAGGAGGAGTTACCTTTTACGTCAGATGTCAGAACGTAACTCATGTTGTTTAGACTAAAGAAAGAACACATGATAAGACACACACCAACTCTGTCTGTTATGGCCTTAAAGCTGCAATGATCAGAAAGTATAAAATACAAWACTGCATCTAATATTCAATTAATCAGTTACAAAATTTCCTTCAATAGCCTACATAGAAAAGTCATTGATTGCTATTTTTGTCTTCCTCCTGCGCACTAAAACCATTAAGGTCGTCATCTTCAGTGTTGGAGTTGAACAGCCTATAAATTACTTCCTCAGTCTTTTTTCAGTGTCACTTTTAATCGCACCATCCCCACACCTGTGCGTTAGCCCCTCGTAGGAAAAATTGGTTAATTATTTGCATCACTATTTAAGCTGAAGGGAAGTGTGTAAAAAAGTAGTMGTTTATAGGCTGGAAATTATGGTATGTTTATTAAAGCAACAGTGTAGTAACTTAACACATTTCATGCCCAAAGGCATGTATAATATTTATACTCTTGTTTAATAAATATAAAAACAAAACATTTGAAGTGAAATGCCATAAGACACCTTGAGGTCAGACTCCTGCATGGTTCTGGTAAAAAGTTGCTGTTTGTGTATTTTTGACTTCAGTAAACTTCTCATATTTAGCTTTGTGCAACGTGTTGTTGTGGTGACTTATATTAAAATCCTTCATGGCAGACAGTGTCTCTAAGCAAATTAAACACATAGGTTTGCCTTGATATGAATGGATGGAAGTTGCCATCCCTGTCATATGCTAAATGTCCCACCTTGCTTAGTTAAATCATACAATCATTTTTAACTATTGAGTTTCATTTTGATTAAATAACTTACACTGAYTGCAAACTATTTGTGTCATATCAGGAAATTGGATTATTTTTACAATCAAAGTAAAGCATCTACATAGTTATGTCTGCACACTAACAATAATATTGTATATAACAAAAATTCTATCTTCAATTACTTAAATGTAGATTGAAACAGTTTTATGGTTTTCTTAAAAACTCGTTTTATTTAGATGACTCCCAACTCAGTTTATGTTTGTTCATTTAAAATGATTGAAGTTTGTTGTGGAGCAGCAGATCAAATTGTAACATTTGTTTTTTTGTTTTTTATTATTACACTGGGACTGAGTGTTTGGGGTGATTTTATGTCAGGAAGTTGTAGATGAAGCAAGTAAAACAAAATGTATCTGTTGCTTGTTGCAGCCCACCAGCCTGCAGGACTCCAGGTTTCCGAGGCAAAGGCTTTATTCCTGACTGCTGATCCAGCAGCGGAGACCTTGTCTTTAGTCAATGAAGCCAAGAGAAGCGCCCCCTCAACCAAAACCTCTACCTGGACTGGCCCGGTTGACTCAAACAGAACAAAAGTCCCATCGTTAGTTGAAATCAACAACTCATCGGAGATCATGGAAGAACATGTAGTTATTGACKTAAGGCCTGAGGAGGGTTGGGATGAAAGATGGAACAGATCCGGAACCAATCAACGTGGTCAGGATGACTCTGATGGTCCAAACAGTAACAACACATTGGGTCTTTTGGAACCTGAAGTCCATGGAGGTTCTGCCCATGAGGATCACAATGACTTTGGATCTGACACACCAACCCCGTCTATAACTTCATCCACCCCACAGCCTCAAACAAGTAATAGTATTCTCACTGAATTTGTTAAGACCCTCATGAGGCCATTTGAGTTTTGGACAAGGAGCAAAGGGGCTGGCAAAACAGAGGGGGAACCCACTCTGCCTGAGGGCAAAAACGAGGAGAATCAGAGAACGGAACAAGCTTCCGGCAAAAACCTGAGTGTCTTGAAGCCCGGTGGACTCAAAGGCAGCATGGACAATGCCATCTTGGAACATAAAAGTGGTTCTTTCTCCCTCAGGGGGGCTGCAAGTGAACTACAGAGCCCCGAGAAGGAACTGTCTGAACAAGAAAAAGAAGTTRTACCACTGATTAAACTTGTGCCTGCTGTCGAAAATACAGAAGAACGTGAGACCATCACTCATCCTAATGAAGGAGCCACCTTCACGTTCAGTGACAAACCTCAATYCATTTTAAACAGTAAGTTTTTATTCTTAAACGTCTGGGTTGTTTAGAAGTGAAACGCTGCGAAGAGACTCTGCAAAAGTCTTYTGGTTTTAAATTTATTTGGAATTCAAATGAAAATGAAACTAAAGAGAAGGTGTGGCACATTTAAATTGTGCTGGTAAATATTGGATCTATTTATGTGGAGTTTTTCCAACAGCGTATGCTTCTGCACTCCATTTTCTCCCCTTTCCTCTGGAGTATGCTTTAATATATTCCTCTCCAGGGCAATTTGAAGTATCACTTGAAATTTAATTAAACAATGATTGCAAACAAACAAGGGGGGCTTGGCGCACTGTATGAAAATGCAAAAATGTTGGAGTGGAGACTTTTCTGCCTCCGGTGTCATATCTATTGACAGTGCTTTGTTTATGGTGGGAACAAAAGGAAAGCTTGAAATTTTCTTTTCATAGTATAAAAAAAGACAAATGTTATCTGTTTTGAACAAATGCAGACCTGCATCCCAAGTTATAGCTTCTTCTTATGAGTCGAAGATGTGTCAGATTTAAAAGGTTAACTGTGGAGAATAAATTAAGCGAACAAAGCAAAATGCTTAAGAAACCGTTCTAGGAAGCTTGAGGATGAAAATGTCACAGACTTCTTATTTTCCAGCTCACATACTCTTAAAAATCACATCAGAAATATAAACCCCACATCATATCCTCCAGTTTATAACTACAGGAGAAACAATAAGATTGAAGAGTCTTTGCATTTTGTAGAGTTACACTTCCAAACTTTTTGAACCAAGACTTTTGAAGGGGTTTTTTTTTTTGTTTTTGTTTTTTTGCTGAGATCAACATGTCTAGTCTCACATTACATTCTTAGTTCCAGGTAAACCTTGGGTCATAACAGTATGACCATCCCCTTACTCCCACAAAGACCACCACATCAAACAGAAAATAGCATGTTGCCTAAAACAGGGGTTCCCAATGTTTTCAGACTTAGGTACCCCCTGAGCCATTTTGTCATACCACTAGTACCCCTCAGTCAAACATATGATGATTCTTCAAAACGATGTACAAAAACTGATTATTAAATGAAAATTATTTATTTACCCCCCTTAATTTGAACATTTAATTCTCAGGCATTTTATTCTTTTCAACTAAAATTAAACATAAAGATGAAAATGTTGCCTTGAAAGTGAATAAGCAATTAAATAAATAAAGCAAGTAACGGCAGGTACAGGAAACAGCAGCATCCAAAATACATTGTATAGTCYAAAGCACATCAGAAACTCGCCCAAATGAGCAAGTTTCATGAAATTCCACGTTTTATACTGGATTCCATTTTGTTTTGTCAGTTCCGCGATTCTGTCTGCATTTTCTGCATTGCAGAAATAATGAAGACCTTCATATTCCAGTCCTGGGAAATTTTTCCACGTACCCTCTGTAATATGTTCGCGTACCCCAAGGGGTACACTTACCCCTGGTTGGGAATGACTGGCCTAAAACACCTAAACTTGCCTACCAAAGAAAAATGAAACAAAAAATTTTCTGACCTAACTTCTGACAAAGAATCAGGAGAAAATTGCGCTCAAACAAAAAGGGCCTCTTTCTCTTCCTCCTGCAGTCAGTTTTATTTAAAAAAATCTATTCACAAATCTCAAACAATGCCACAATCATTTCAAACACCAAACAAATCAGAATGTCAAAACTTAAACCATAACTAAGCAGCTGGTTCTCTGTGGAGAGAACAGTAGGGTTGCCAACTCAGCCCCTCCAAAATATGGGACAGCTATGCTGGTGGCAGGACTTGTGTCAATTGTGACGTCACCACACAATATTGTTTGAAAACCACTGCCATGTTGTTTTCTCCCATTCACCGGAGACATGTAGGACTAGCAAGACTCAGTTATGTGCTCAAAGTTTTGTTTCCTAGCTCTGCCCAAGGATGCCAGCAGTCCAACATCTAGTCTTTTCATCAGGTGATCTCTACTGCTCACTGTATGCCCATTCTGAGTGGCAGTGAGGGTTTCTTAGACTTCATTAAAGGTCAAATTGCTCTCTACTTTGTGTTTTTAACATAAACATATAAAACTGAGGTTTGTTATCAAACGGTTAGAATGCTCTTTATTTTTGGGAGGCCTGATCAGGATTTATCCCCTACGAGTTCTGTTTTGAGTATGAAAAGTCTATGAAAAAAATCATTGTCTCAAATTATGAAAGCAACATCCACTGTCTCGTGTACGTCCAACGGTCACTGTGTGAGAGGCAGACAGGTCACAAGTCCATTCTATGGCTGTATAGAGACAAACAACTATTCACACTCACGTATAGAAACTATTTAGTTGCCAGTTAACTGTGTTTTTGGTCTGTGGAAAGGAAACAGAGTACCCAAAGAAAACCCATGTATTCAGACAGAGAACTTGCAAACTCCACCTAGAAAAGCCCTAGACCAGGATTCGATCCTGCAACCTTCTTGCCAAGAGGTGAAAATTCTACCAACTGTGGCACCGTGCCTAGAGATGGGTATCATTAAGATTTTATTGATACTGCTACGCTTATCAGTATTGTTTATGGATCCGGTATTTTAACGGTCCTCTTAGTGATACTTTTCTATTGGAGTAAAACCAGTGTTTTCCCTAGAGAATTGGTCATTGGTCTTGGGGGGCAGGGGGGTGGAAGTTATGCAAAGAATATGAACCATATTTTGCTCTGTTTTTCCCCCCCAAGTTTGGTGTTTCATAAGAGAGGTGAACGTGGAGGAGCAACCACAGAATTACCTCTCGATGTGATCTGGCATTGTATTAAAATGACTACATGCTGTGAAATTCTCTGTGTGTGGGGGCTTGGATAGTTGTATGGGAAACGCTGAAAACCAAAAGCAAACTATGAATATGCAATGATTTTACTTTAGAACAATATAGAACGTACAATAAAGCCACTTAATTTTTAATTAGATGCGCAATTTTAAGTTGCATTTCATTAACTGCATGTCAGGTTTTTCACCATTATATGCAAAATGGAGGAATAAGGTGTCAGTTCTTTTCATGACAGTCTGGACATGGCAAATCTGATTTGTATCCCCCCCCAAAAAAAAATCCAACCCAGTTCTTTTCAGTTTATAGTGCTGAATCAGAGACATATCTGAAGTATTTCAAAGCGACCTCAGAGTCTGAAAGTTTGTGTAGGATCGATCCACTAACCTTGAGTCATGCTTGTTTAAATCCTGTCTTCAGAACATGTCTTCAGCTACAGAACAAAAGTCCAAATGTCGTTTTTTTTTTTTTTTTTTT